GAAGCATTGTATTACATTTATTATATTTTACTTAACCTTGATGAAATCTGTCATGGGAGTGTGCAGGGAGACTTCAGATATAAAAACGCGGACTTGTTAGGAAATGTTTACTCAATGAAATCATAGCGCGGTGATTTCACTTATATTATGTCTTGAGCAATTCAGTTCTATATTAGTAGTTGTAGCCATTGCGGCGTGAATGTCGTCTCAGCTATATCTATAACTGAGGGAGAATATGTGTCGTCGTGGACTACGCCGGGCGTAGTTGCGCCTGATCATAGTTTCAGTTGGTGCAACAGGTGTAAATATTTATCGTAAAGCAGGACGTTGCAAAGTCCAGCATAGGGCTTACACCCAGCGTTTTTACGTCTAGCTGGTGCAACCAGCCCCAGCTACTGTAAACAACATGATTGGTTTTCCTACAAAATTTAAAGGTTTATCTAAACTTTCGGCTCCCTGATTCCAGTAAACAAAGCCTCAAATATTCCTAGGTAGATATTCCAGTCATTCATGCAGTTTGTTAAAGGCTGCATCAGTAACACAATGCAAACAGAAATACCCAATCCGGCTCACTATAGTGCACAGATTTCTTCTAATGCTCTTTAGACACTGTAATGTGGACAGTGATAAATGGTTATGGTAACCCAACAGAGGATGCGCATGGGTACATTTGTTATATATCCAAGTGCTTCTGTGTGGGTTGTGTTTCCTGACTCTGACTGTCAGCTGGTAATGCACTTAGACCATCTACTTTACCGTCTACAGCAGCATCCACTGGAGAAATACCTCTCTCGTTCTTTTAAACTCGAATTGCTATGGAGGAGTCTTCTTATTACAGGGCTGGCGGTTTAAAAGAGCTGAAAAAAGAACATCACTTCCACATTTGTTAATTATGGTTCATCTTATGGAGAATGGAAAACACTAGAACATTATGGCTCCATAATACGCTGTTGACAACTGTAGGTTTCTGGTGCTTGCAACACCAAGGTCATGGTCTGATTCTCAGATAACACAAAATGCGTACCATGCGTCTGCCAAATGCAAAAATGTAGATATTTTCTGCAAGGAGTGCATGCAAAAGCCTTGTTGGAGAGACAAAATCTCTGTCAAAAGAAATAAAATCAAGCACGGAAATGACTGCTTAGGTGCACAAGGAAACAATGAACATATGAGAATGCCACTCTTCCATTCACTGAGAAGCTCAAGAGATCAAAACATAGTAGCAAGATCCCTTGAGGGAACGCTTGAGATGAGGAAATAAAAACAGTGAGGGTATAAAGCCCCACAACCTCACTCAGAAGGTGAACAGCTTACCCGTCTCGGCCTCGGTCATGCTCTTCCTACTGGAACGAGAGCCCTTATAGGCCCAGAGGAAAACTGTGTACAGGACTCCTGGTTTCAGAGAGGTCAGCTGGTGAGAAGTAGCGTCCGCGCCCACTTTAATTTCTCGACTGGTGCCCTCTGCAGAGCTGTAAGTCAGCATGTAGCCATCGATCTCACCACGAACACCATCCCACGTCACAGTTGCAGAGTTCTCCGTCACCTCCCTGGTTGCCAGATTGGTTGGGGCATCAATGTCTGTTGGATAAGATAATTCAAGACATTCAGATTAAAAAAGAAAAATGCAACACTAGAACAAATAAAAACGAACATTTTCTAAAAAAAATGTTTTGCCCTTTTTTAAATGTAAATTTCTTAATTTAAATTAGATATTTTTAATTAAATCCATAATATTGTATATGATCAAAAAAATGTATATGATAAAAAAAGACTTCAGAGATTTCAGATATCTTATATCTATATTGGTATCTTTTTGTTGAATAAATATTATTGTATTATAAAATATTTTAAATACTATTTAATATTTAAACTATTGAAAAAATATTGTTTGAGTGAATAAAATATTAGATATTTAATTCATTTTTAATATTTAATTTAAAAATTATACTTTCACTTTTTATTTACACAAAACTGAAAAAAGGTAAAAGGACCTGTTTTCAGAAAAAAATTATCTTGCATGGGCAAATAAATCTAACAACATTTAGTGAGATTTATGCTTAAAACATTTACATCCTCAATATTTGAATATTTATAAGATCAATATATCATTTACTCACAATTGCATATGATACAAAGACATCAGAGATTTCAGAGAATTTATCTTTTTTGTCTTTTTTGTTGTATAAATATGATTTTATTATAAGATGTTTTAAATATAATTTAATATTTAAACTATTTAAATAAATAGTGTTTAAATAAAAATGTTTGATATTTACATATTGATAAAACATGATAAATTTACTTTTCATTTACACAAAATTGCATAAAAAGAACTTTCCTGTTTTAGCATAAGCATTTAGTGAGATTTACATTTTTTTCAGTGAATTCTTGATTGAACTTTCAGTATTTTGTATGAACAAGAAGCTGTTGAGGTTTTTATATTTCATCAGGCTTATGGATTTGTAATTATCAGGACCTGAAGCTCTGAGGATGTGCGCAGAGTCATACAGGCATTGCAATATGCATTTGTGAGCAGTTCCACTGGAACTAAGAAAGTGCCCATGCAATGCAACAGAGGAAGTAAAGAGAAAAGGAAAAGCAATCATCATTTAGGCTACCGTTCTGTGACTGCAGCAAGGTTAGCCGAATGTCACCATGCTATCCGCATCATGGAAACTGATTCCCGATGCCTTCTAAGATTGCTAGAATCCACAGCTCTCATTTTATGCTCTCTGATTGCCAAGATGGGCTTATCATTTTTGACTCGTCTTGAGTTTGAAACATGGACCAGAATACAAAGCAACAGCTCACACTGGAAAGCAGACAACGCCAACTCTAAATGCATTTATGAGACACTCAAAACTTCATTATTCTGCAATTAGATTGAGACAAACTGCCAAATGTATCTCTATTCCTGTCTCTGACCATTGAAGTATGGTCAGATTAGAAAATATTTCTCTGGACTCTGTAGGATATCAGACCGAATCAGACAATCTAAGATTTGGTCAAAACATGGTTGAAACATGCGGAGCCGAATTCCACAGAGGCCCAAGACACAGGATGTTCGTAAATCAGATCCTGGCGCCACAAGCCTGAACCAACTAGCAGCTTTGAGTAGCTCACAGCATTTAAACAAAAGAACACT